TCCCTGGCTTCAGCAGTATGCATACCCCAGGAATACTTTCCTTTCAGTAGTCTGCTTGTTCCATGTTCAAGAGTAGAAGTAGGAGGCAAGTAGAATTAGTTGATTGCTGCTGTGAATTTTTAAGTCTAGTAAGACCAATGTGTGCACTTCTGTTTGGTGCTATTTCTCTGTTGTAGCTGAATAAAACAGTAATTGGTTTTTACTGTTACTCTGATGAAATATTTCCTGTGACTGAATACATGGCAACATCTGTTACAGAAAGGTAGGTGGCAGAACTTTAACACACTGTAAAATATGCTGTGAGTTTAATTAAACTGCATAACTGAAATACCGAAGTATCTTTGCATTCAGAAAGTAGTAATCACCTGTGGTCTAGGTGTTTTCTAGGACATCTTTTTCTCCCTTACTTCTGCTGATTGACTTTGTTAGAAATTCATTTGGTACTGTTCTCTTAAGGTTTTGACAGATTATTGTGTGAAGAACACTGTGCAAAAGTAGCATTTTCCAAAACAATTGTGCAAATAGCTCAGTATGTCTCATGAGCTCACTTTTTAATAGTACAGTACTTGTGAAGTGCCACCCTTAATGAATATAGTTTAGTAATGGAACACTCTACCCCCTTTCTGTGTTTTGTTTTTTTTTTCTTTTTTTTCTTTTTTCTCAGAAAGTACTTTTGTTCAGCTTTTTTTACTCTTGATTGGTAATTTTTAGCTTTTGTGAATTTGGCTTCATTTGGTTCAGGAAACAAGAGTCCCGTACTTCTTGGTGATTTTTCATCCTAGTCGTAGTACTACTATGCAGAAGGAAAGTAAATTTAGCAAATTTATCTTTTCAGAACCCATTTGTAACACTCAAAGTTATGATTAACTACATCTGACTAACAATATATAATGGGTCATTTTGAAGTCTTTTTTTTTTTTTTTCACTTCGTTTGACTGGGATTTGGTGCTTAGCCTTGACTTGTGTTGATGTTTCCCCTCACCTCTGTTTCCTGTCATCTGGTGTGTTCTAACTACAAAAGTTTCAAAAATGTGAAAGACTGACTGGTTTGTATACTACTGACTGTTTCACTAATCAATATTTAATATGGTTTTCATAGGATATGTAACATGACACTGATATTCTGGACAGGTAATTTTCATTGTTTGGAAACCTTACATAATAAGGGGAATCAGGTAACTGCTAGAAATGAGCACCTTATTTATTTACTTTTTTAGCATCATATTGCCAAGGATCTGTTTTGTGAAATCTACTCTTGAAAAACCTGTAGCTTCTTTATCATCAAAATACTTCTGAAATTGTCAAAGTGAAGTTAATATTTAAAGGGACACTGTCACTTTTTTAAAACTGAATTTACGTCCTGGTTCTAAAAACTCTTCAGTTATTGCTCCCTTACTGGAAGTTTGTAAGGCCATTTGGTGGAATTCAGAACAATGTTAAAGGCAGTGAAGCTAGTCCCCTTCGGCTTCTGCTTCCTGTCCTCTGTATGCACATGCCTGCTTGTTGCCTCTTTGGTTTCAGCTTTGCTATGGCTGTGTGCACCCTCTCGCAGAGCCTGGGGAAGAGCATGCATGCTTGCTCTCTCCAGGACAGTGCATGAGTGATGTGGTCATGCTGGTGCATGAGGAGAGTGCGATTACTGTCAGTGACACTGGCTGCAGGTGAAGTGCTGCTGCCAAACAGATACAATAATGGAGTTGTTTCTTACCTAATCTTTCCTGTTTGCTTATGAGCTGTGAAAGTAAAAACTTTCGTGTAGTCAATGTGAGACTTTCACTGTATAAAATGTAATCTCATGCATTTGGCTGTGTCCCTTTAAATTCTATATGCTAAAATGTATAGCTGCCAAATCTGTATGTACTGATACCAAGTGGTGCAGGTGATTCGCTGGAGGGAGGGAATACTATCCAGAGGGGCCTTGACAGGCTTGAGGAGTGGGCCTATATGAACTTCATGAAGTTCACCAAGGCCAAGGGCAAGGTCCTGCACCTTGGGTTGGGGCAATCGCCAATATCAGTACAGACTGGAGGATGAATGGATTGAGAGCAGCCCTGGGGTTACTGGGGGATGAAAAATCAGACATGAGGCAGCAATGTACACTTGCAGCCCAGAAAGCCAATCGTAGCCAATGGTACAAGAAGGACATGGACCTGTCGGAGCAGATCCAGAGGAGGGCCACAAAAATAGTCAGAGGGATAGAGCACCTCTCCTATGAAGAAAGCCTGGAAAAGAGGAGTCTTTGTGGAGACCTTATTGTGGCTTTTCCATACTTAAAGGGGGCTTACAAGAAAGATGGAGGGAGACTTTTTACTAGGGCCTGTAGTGACAGGACAAGGGGTAATGGTTTTAAACTAAAATAAGGTAGAGTTAGATTAGATATAAGGGTTTACAGATTTATTAGATATAAAGGTATTACAATGAGGGTGGTGAAACACTGGAACAGGTTGCCCAGAGAGGTAGTAGATGCCCCATCCCTGGAAACATTCAAAGTCAGGTTGAGGGGGCTCTGAGCAACCTGATCTGGTTAATCTGGATGACCTTTAAAAGTCCCTTCCAAACTAAACCATTCTATGATTTTTATGAAGCAATCCAGAAAAGTGTTTTTCTTGTTCAAGTCTTCTAAAATGAAGTAGCTTGGCAGCAGAGGGCAAATGGAAGTTAACATAGTTAAAATGATGCCTGGTAAGGCATAAACTGTTTTAACATCTCTGTGTATAACTACAGCTTAGGAGCCATATTTGCCAGGAGTTAGAAATTAGATTTTTTTCACAGAGCTTCAGTGAAGTGGTATTAAGTGATTTATGTGATTATATGTAAGTGACTCTGTGTATGTATAGATATAAAACTGTTTAACACATCTATGTGTGTGCACACAGAGTTTGGTGCTTCATGCCTTAAAAAGTAATCCCGAACACTGCAGAAACTGGTAAGCTGAAAGCCATTGAACGAGTGGTTCCCAAGGGGGATAGGAAGGAGGATGGAAGAGAGGAGAATGTACATATATTTGAAATCTGATGTTATTTTGAAAAGAAACAGAAATGTGGTGAGCACTGAAAACCTGTTCCTAATTCTTGACCATATGTTCAAGAACAGGAAGAGACTTAGTGAAGCCCAGAAAATTGGCAATAACTTATTTATGGGATGGGCTTTTCTTAATTTCAGTCCTATCTTTCTGTGATAGAGGAATCTAGCCACAGTGAAAAAAGAAATCTAGTCAAATAAGAAACTACCCAATGGTAGTTCTTTCTTCTCTTTCTTCTTTAATTTGTGAATATAGCTAATTAGTTACTACTGATTAATCACACATAAAAAGCTCTGATGGGATTAGATGCAGGGGAGAACTGTGCAGGGTCCAGAGGAAATGAACAAAATACTTCAGTGCAGTACAAGATACTGGTGCAACCTGCATTTTATTTTAGATTCACTATAGAATTGGTGTCAGATTACTGGAACTGTTCCAAAAGCTAATTAAAATACCAAGAGAGCTAATTAAAATACTAATGAGAAAATTTGAGGATGGATGGACATCAAAACCGTAGCTAAATCTAGTCTCGTTTTGATGTAAATTTCTGTGCCTTTATATATTTTCATTTGTGATTTAAAAACCAAAGCAAATTTAAAGCTGTTTTTATTTGTGGTGCATACTGTGTTTGTAGTAAGGTATGCTTTTCCTTGGCTTTACAATATGTTAAAAAGCTGAAAATACCATGTCAAAACCACGGAACTGATTAATGTCTGGTCTTGTTAATAGCAATGGTGCTCATTCCTAGCTTGAGATCTAGTGTGTTGGCGGATCTTAAATTAGAAGTGGCCCTGGGTTTGGTTTAAATTTTCTCTGATGAGGTTACTTAAAAGGAAGCTCAGTTGCCTTGTTAGCTTTGCCAACTCTGCTCTCCTGTTTCTCTGCAGACTATTGCAGCTATTTTAAGTTGTAATTGTTTCAGAAATCATTTATGCTGGAGAATGAATTTTTATTTTGTTCTCAATGTTCATGACTGAAAAATTTTGAGTAATCAATCCTAAAACAATTGAAATGTTTAACAACTGGTACCCCATGAAAGTAAAAATAATTCCTATTGAATATCAGGTTTAAATTAAAAAAAAAACAACCCAGTAATTAAATGTTTGTAAAAAAGAAGATTTTGGCTGTAAAGAACATATTCTCCACTTTTATGCAAGAAATCAAACATAATTTGATTTTTCTTAAACAGGGGAAAGCAGTAGATCATGCATGGTAATATTAATTGGTGATACTGTCAGGTTTTTTTAGAGATATTAAAATGCATATTTGGCTTTAACAAGCTGACAAAAATTAACAACAATAACAACAGCCTGGTAAGTCAGGTGCACTTTTGGTGTTCTCATAAGTTCATGGGCAATTTTACTATTAAGAAGGTGAAACTGTGAGCTGTCAAAAATGGTGGAAAGTAGTTTTCAGAACTTCTGTCATTAAAATTAATTTCTGCTTATGTGAAAGCAAGCACATCTATTAAATTTTGTATGCTAACACTTACTGTTGCATAATACATTTTTAACCTGACAGTGTCCCTAAATTATCATGTCTGTTTGCTTTCATTTTCCAGCTGGGTTTTAATTTTGCATGCATTTTGGTGAAATGTAGTATGCATAATAGTTGTTTCCTGGAAGCATTTTGGGGCTGTCTCTGCTAGTGTTCTCCAAAATGAGCAAGGTAGTGGAGTTTATTTTCCTTTTGTGGAGGTTTGTTACCTAATGAATAAGTAATGCAGAGTGATTCCACATTAATTGGGTATATGCATATGTGGTTTTGAACTTAATATTGTTTGAAGAAAGGTTGCAAGTAATAGAGATCCTTTCTTTTTAATGACAACCCAAACAACTCCAAAATTTAGTAGAACTAAATATTTCTGTTTTGAGAAAAAAATTTCAAACTCTGGTTAGTTTGACAAAGCAATTTGTAATGTGTAATATTTGTCCTTAGTTTATCACAGGAGCCTCTGTGAAGCTGTTTTTTTGAAGTAATGCCAATAGAAAGTGGAAGTTGTGCATCTGCTCGCCAAGCAAAGCAGAAACGTAAATCACACAGTCTTTCAATCCGAAGAACCAACAGTTCTGAGCAAGAACGAGCAGGACTGCAGAGAGACATGTTGGAAGGGCAGGTAAGAGAATACACTGCTGCTTGGGTAACTTCTGTAACTTTTTAATGAGTGTTTTCTATGCGAAGAGATTAAATAAACTTAAGTAATGAAATATGTCCAGTGAAGCTGCAGAACAGCAGACTTTCTTGCTTGTAAGTGCTGACTGTCTTTGGGGAATGTTGACGTGGATGTTGACAGTGCTTCAGGTTGTATTCAGACGTGTGGAGCTTTTTATCAGCTTTTGTGTATTCTTACATGAATGATAAAACCATGAAGAAATACAAAGAAGCCACCTATTTAGTTCACTGCACCTCCCCCAAAGCTCAAGATTGATTCTTGATTTCATAAGTTGGAATTTGTAATAGTAGTAACCTAGGAATAATAAACAAATATTGCCTGCTTGACAGAGGCATGGGCTAACTTAAATTTTTGTTTGTGTGTTGGTTTTTTTTTTAATTTGGCTCAAATGAAGGTGTGATCTTTTGTGTATTAAACTTAAGAGAAAGAACAACCACCACAAACTTCTGTGGTTTTCTTAGTCATGTCAGTCTGTGTAGTGGATGCAATCTGGAGCCACTTGGAGTGTTTCAGCTAACAATACTGAGATTAACTGTAGGTAAGGCTCTTATAGCAGGTGTTTGAAGTAGTGCTGCCAAAGATAAGCAAATACCAGTTTGCAAACTATTTATTATCAAATTGACTATGCAGTGTTAATGCAGGCCTGGCAAAGATGATGCAAGACTTGATTTTTATCAGAGAGACGGTTTGAAAAACTAACAATGTTTGTCTATGAGAAACCTCATTTCCCGGACTCTGCAGGTACCATGAAGGGAAAACCTTGTGTTGTGACAGACTTAAGAATTTTTTTTAATTGAATTTATTGTTCAGTGACTTACAGCATTAGTTTTCTGGGAGCTAACAAGGCCCAAGTTGTTGCTTCTAGTCATCCAGAAGTTGGAGAATGTAAGTACTTGGGTAGAAAACTATTCATGCATTTGGACTGTTACAACCTTACTTCAGGAAAGGAGTGAAAGGCAGCTGAGAGGTCAAGGCATGCTGTCACTTCTGTGTAGTAAACCAAAATTTTAAGCTGTTTTAATATTTCTTATCAAACTCTATAAGTGTATTATGCTGCAATATGTAAATGTTTTGTGTATCATACTTAATTTTGTTGACCTTTAACGTTGAACAGCCAGTGGCAGATCCTAACAAGTAGAGAGTATTAATGGATCACAGTGGAGCTGTAAACCACGTGATATATCTAGATGAGTACTTTTGCAGATAAACAGGTAACGTTATTATGTGGTATTTTAATAAACTAATTTAAATAACGCCAACTTTAAAGAGAGTAAAGGAAGTGGATGTGTTTTACTGTGCTGCTTACTTTAGGACAGATTTAGATTTGCTTATGCTTTCAGGCTCAGAGTGGATTGAAAACATTTCCTACATCTCCTTTTCTGTTTCGAAAGTTGTAGTGTAACTTAGTTTCTTTTATAACCTGGCTGTATGGAATTATTGGGTAATTGAATCGGAAAGAATTCTTCTAATTTCAGTGTTTCTCTTACTAGTGTTTCATTTTTATAGTATTCTTATTTATTCAGTTTTGTTTCAAGTTGGTTTTAATCGGGATCTGTTTCATGTTCTGGTTGTCTGTGGATGCATGAACAAAAGTACTGTCTCAAGGGAGGGGCAGGTGAAGATGCAGAAAGGAATATCCTAGGGAGGCATAAGGAGCATAGTACCACTTCTTTCAGCACAGTGCCTGTCTCAGCACAGTGCCACAGCTTAAAGTAGCTGTAAAACTGGTGTAAAACTGATTTATGCACAAAGCAGATGTGCTCTATGTCTTGGCTATTAGTTTCTCCTGTTTTTCTCTTTAAAATTGATGTTCAGAAGTAACTTCTAAAATCGGGATCATAATAGGCTTTTCTAATTGTTTCTGAAGACAATCGTCTTGACTGTATGAACCGAAATACAAGTGAGATTAAATTCTGGTTGTTAGATGCTGAGTTGGTTGAAGGTGCATGCTGCCCTCTCGTGGCTAGTATGCACATACATCCTCCTAATTCAGTCAGTTTATAGGAGTGGAACCAATTTCTTTTGGTTTGGGTTTGCTGGAACACTTAAGAACAAAACAAGCTATAATCATCCTTAAACTTGCATTGAGTAATAAAGTTCACTCGAATTTGGATGGTGTCTTGTGCTAACATTTGTACTTGCATTCTAGTAATGCTTCTTCTGTACTTGCAGACCTGAAATAGTGGTTTGTGCTGTGGCAGAAGCAGACTCAATTTTCTTTTTTTTGCTCATAGCCGATGATTTCAAGAATTTGAAATTACATACTTTTGCTTTGTTTAAAAAAAGTAGATGTTGCTGATGGGCACATTCTCTGTATATTTGATAGATGAACATTGATATATTGATAATATGGTATACATGATACCATATTCAATCCACTTTGAAATCTGGTAACTTTTTTCCTTGCATAGATATTTCTCAGCTTTTGAATGCAGCTGCATTATTTAGAGGTTTGTCCAGTAATAAGATGTTGTCTTACTGAATTCTGAGATGACAGATTAGATATGCTACAAAGGAATTGTTGAACTTTTTCATTGTTAGGGTGAGACTCAGTTAAGTGGAAACTTCTTCTGAAAAAAGTTTATAGCTGGCTACCTAGATAAATACAAAGTGTGGTAAGCCGACTTACGTATTGTGGTCCACCAGCAAGTGAAGAATAGAACAGATTTAGTAGCATTTATTTATGTAGTGAGCAAGGACGGTTCATCTGTTGATCCATACTTGTAGTGGAATAATTGATTATAGTTATTAGACTAATTACAGTATTTTCTCCTTTCTAATTTGCCATTTTTAGTAGTACACTGTGCTTTAAATTTAAAGATTTTTGTTAGTACTAGGTTCTCAATGTACTATAGTCAGTTGTCTTCTGCTTTACTTACTGTCTGCTCAACAGTGTTTGATAACAGAATCATTGATATAGTGAGAACCTTGACTCCCAACAGGAATTAGTACTTACTTGTTTTGGATATGGTATGCATTTGTTCAGGCCAAACATGGTGCTGATCTCTGTTTTATAGGCAGATGAATAAAATTTAAATAACTTACTAACAGAAACTTGTGGTCAAGCTATGTATTGAGCTCAGATCATATAAATCCTGTGTTAGTGGTTTTATTACGTAGTTGTTTTTGTACCTTGAAATTGCTGTGTTGATTATGCTGAAGAAAAAAATCAGCCCTCCTCTGTGAATTTTCTTGAAAATACTTTATGTGAAGAGGAGATACTTGAATAACATTTGGGGAGGGAAGGATTAGAAATGGCCGCTTCCTTCACACACTTAGCTATGGTTAGTGAGAAAAATAGGTAAATGTTATAAATATGTTGAAAACTTTAGTTTGTTTCAAGCTTTGGTAATAAGGTGCTTTGTGATGACAACTTCCTAACCGAATGCACAGTCAGCTTCTGAATTACTTTGTCAACCAAAGGTATTCTTTCTTCTTGAACTGGAAGCACCTTGACACTATATTGTAAACTTTTTTCCACCTTTTTTTTTTTTTTTTTTCCTTCCCCAATGAGTTGGACATGTCTCTTGGTTTTATAATATTTCTCTAGTAAAAACAAAAAAAACCCTACAGGTGATTTGAATTCTGTACCTTGAAACAATATGTAAAATGAATAATTTTATGATGCACAGAGCTTTTTCTTTTGTGTTCCACACTCGTAGTAGTTTTAATTTCCCTCCTTGCTGGGAGATAGTGAGAACTGTTAAAATCAGTTTAAGGTTGAAAGGTATCCACATAAAATATATGTAAAGAAAAGTATAAACCCCGATGTTTTGCTTCCTAGGATTCTAAACTACCATCTTCTGTCCGGAATACACTCCTTGAACTTTTTGGACAAATAGAGCGGGAGTTTGAAAACCTGTATATTGAGAATTTGGAATGTGAGTATCTCTTTTTTCCAGCAACGTATGCATTGTTTGGATTTAGGATATAGTAGCGCTAATTGAGACACTTACATTGGATACTGTAGTCTAATCAGCGTAGCTTTTCTGTGGGGAGTTTAAGAATTGTTTTGAACTTTTAGCCAAAGGTGGAGTTTTTACCTTTTCAGAAAAATCACTTTCTTAGCTCTTTGACGAAAGTAGTGAGAACTGATGTGTGTCATCGTCCTTGACTCTTAGGCAAAGAAAGTGAAGTGGCGATCTCCTTGTCATTGTAGGCTCTGGTATATACCACGTTAATCTGGCAGTAACTTCGTTCAGCCATTGAAGGTTGTGGCTTTGTTGTATATCTACAGGCTTAAGTTTAATGATTTTAATATTAGTAAATAAAATTGGAAAATGCCTTACTTGAAAAAAGTGTAAAATGTGTTGGTTTTGGATCATACTACTTAGTACACTGCATAACCAGCACCTGCAACTGTTCATGAATTTTGAAGTCAAACACTCAGATAAAAATTCCAGGTGTTATCTGCAAAAAATGTTATTTGTTTAATGATAGTGCGGTTGTATGGTAATGTAACTGATCCAAGGTGATGTAAGAGGATCCAAAGTACGTAACATAGGCAGTCATACAGTAAAGCCTCTGCTCAATTTTCCTTGCTGGATTTTGGAAACTGTGTTGCATGGCTTGGCTTCTGAAGTGTGGAATCTGTCTGAACTGGCTCCCAGTAAAGTTTCTTTCCACACCTAATCTGTTCCCACAGTTAAACCAAACAGTCATGTTAAAAAAACGTTCTTGTGTGCTTTTTGAAAATATGCGGTGTTTTTTTTTCTCTTAAAACCTGAGATTGTGTTGATTAAAGGCTGTCGTCAACATCACACATTTTTTAGTGACAATTTGCACAACTGAATTCTCGGCCTCCTGCTGAGAAGTTGGGTGGTAGGAGGAAAAGTAGGGTTTCCCTCCCTGACCTTCAAAAATGTCAGAAAAGAAATGGTGAATTTGTTTGTACCCTCCGGAGTATGATTATTTTCCTTCCATTCCATTTCTGTTTCTTCTTCATCTTCTTTCTTCACCTCACAGGTCGCCTTTGTGATCTCTTCCCACTTCCCTGACAATTTCTAAATTTTATTTCCTCTTCTGATACTCAGTGTGTTATTTTTCGTTCTTAGTCTAATTCCTACACTAGTGTTGCGGTTACTGTACATAGAGAATCTCAAGTTTTTCCTCCTTGGCTTTTCATATACTACTTTTCCCTTATTACAACTTATTTCTAGTTTCTTCCTTTTCTTATCTTTTCCAGGCTTCAGTCTTAAACCTTTCAGGAAGTTCTTGTATCTAACTGGCTTGTTTGTTTCAATCATCTGCTACTACAAGCCTGTCTCTTTGTTTACTTCTCTTTCATATTGTCTGAGTTTTATAAAAGTTTAGGTTTATGTGACTGGGAAGGCAGGAAGGAGAATCTTGCTGTGCTCATTTCAAGCACTTGGAAATCATATGGAAGTGTAAACTGACTTTTCTAGAGCTTAAAACTGAGACTTCAGTGACTTTCTCAGAAATGGCAAGAATCATAGTCCTGATATGTCACATTCTCCCATATTTCAAAGCCTGGGAGTGAATGGCTTCTTTAAAAAAAAGTCTTAAGAATTTGTGGAAAGACAGGCTTAGACTTATTCTCAAGAACAGCGAAAAACTGCTTGGTTAAAGCCTGTCAATAAGATTTCACCTGAGGAGCACACTTAAGGAGTATCAGCCCAGATTTTGACAAAAAACTATAAGCCACTGAAAGTGTTCTTTATAAAATGAAATTGAGCAACTTAAACCAGCCCAACGACTGGAAATCATTTACGAGTACCTGATTTGTTTTACCTGTGCCATCTCCGTCTTGTGTTGAAATGGCACTAGTGAGAGCTATAAATAAGTGACAGAAAAACATATTCTTGTTATAAATACATGCTTTGTCTGATGCACAATGAAAATATTTTGATCATATTTAGTGTTTCTAAAATAGTTGAATGTAAATGTATATGTCATTCTACATTTTTAATGTATTTCAAAGTATTAAAAAATATACCTGTGCTGCACTGCCTTTCTTACTGAAACTCTAACAGTAGACAGGCATTCAGTGGAGAATGCTGTTTTGTGATGAATAAAATCTTTGTCAAGAAATGACATACTAATTCTGTGGGTAAAATATTTATGATGCTGCAAGTTTTCTGTCTTCTGTTGGATTTAATTCAATATAGGTGTGTCATGTATTTCACAGAAGCTATTTTGTTAAACCTTAGCCACATTTATTAGTAAAAGTAACAGTAATTAGAAGCCAACAATACTTTCCTTGGAATCTGGGTCAAGGTTGACCACTGGAAAACTCAGCATGAGTCTTGGTCTGTGTCTTGGTGAGAGCTACTTACATAAAATCACAGTTGATCTCTTTTCCTGTCCTTAGCGTAAAATAGATTACTTACTAACCATAACAATTCTTAAAGAGTATGTTAATGATGTTGTTAATGTTACTTAATGTTTTATATTAATGTGAGTTTTCTTTTTGTTAGTACGCAGAGAGATTGATACACTGAATGAGCGTTTAGCAGCTGAAGGACAGACAATCGATGGTGCTGAACTGAGCAAAGGACAACTGAAAACAAAAGGTAAGAGAACCACAAAAAATCCTAAACTAGTATTTTTGAGTTCACTTTTTTGTATTTTGCTGGTCAAAACTTAGAATCTTATTGAAGGGAATTAATACCAGTTATGTATGCAAATAAACTAATGCTGTATTTGTAATATCTTCCTTTGAATTTATTTGTCTCAACAGCCAGTCATAGTACCAGTCAGCTTTCTCAGAAATTAAAAACAACTTACAAGGCATCTACTAGCAAGGTATGACACAAATTAAACCTCTACTCATCAATGTGTACTCATGAGACTAACATGGCTAAGTTGTAAATTGTGGTTTCTTTAAGCTGAGTATTGCTGTTCTTTCAGTAAATCTACTTCATGAGGAACAGTATGTTTATCTTGGTTTCATCAATTACCCATTACTTCAACCACACTATATGATATTTTTACAATAATTGCTCACCATTTTTAAAGAAAGAATGTTGGAGGAGAGAGAGTGTGGGCACAGGTGTGTATGTGGGATTACTCTTGTAAAGAGGACTGAAAAAAAATACTCGGTTTCGTGAGGGAAATAGAACTTGGTAGGTAGTGAATTTCTAAATAAAGATTTGGGTATTGCAGTTGAAATGGGGATTTAGGTAGGCATCTATATGTGTACTGTTACAGGTTTGTTTTTTTTTTAATTATTTTTATTTTTTAGCTATGAGACTAGAATGATTTGTTTGCTTTACGTTGCAAGCCTTGCAAAAAAAGCTAGTGATCTTTTTTTTGCCTGGTCTCTTAGCACAGTTACCCTTTCGGATGTTTTTCATTTAGCACATCAGCATCCGTATGGCATTTTTGTTTTCCTGTTTCTCTCCCCTTTTTCAATTTTCATAGAGAGTTTACGTGCTGCTCTTTTTACACTATCTTGGTCATTTCATCTTACATTATTAAGAGTAAATGAAATGTGAGGAAGCCACAGTGGGATCTGGTACATGAACCAACTATATAAGAAGCTCTGTGGTGACCTGTATTGCAGACTAATGTGTGGTTATGGAATGACTGTAGGTGTCTTGGAAATACCATCTGTTAAGTAGTCTGAAAGTTTGAGAGTAAGAATAAGAATAGTGTGGTGAAATAGATCTAAGTTACTGTGTTTTGTTTGGTCTCCTTTTTATTTTGCTGTTTTTCAAACTGTTTTTATTCTTGTCAGTCATGCATAGAGGTGCCTCTTCCTTTTTCTTAAGAGTTAATGACTTAGAAATTCTTCAGTGAGGCCGCTTAAATAGGGACAACGTGATATTAATAGGGACAATATAGTATTAGTACACCTACTGTGTAGTTATGAACTAGTACTTTCTCTAGTGTAGTGTTGAGGGTTAGGTTTCGTGGTTCGTGTTTTTTTTTTTTTTTGGTGTTTTTTTTTTGTTTGTTTTTTTAAGGCTAGTGTTAAATGTTTGTCTTCTTTTACTTGGCTGCAGTGTAGTGCTCATACTCTTTCCTGGGCAAGGCAGGCGGACCTCACAACTTCAGCGTGGGAAACTGGGTGGTATGGGTTGGAGACTCCTTGGTAACTGCTCTGCTTCCCAGTGTTCTGATATGCATGCACAGCAAAGTAGTCATGAGTAGTGGAACATGAAGAATTTAATACCTTGTTGTAGACGTTGTACGTATCTATTTTATCAGTCGATAACCAACAGATATTTGAATGTGCTGATATATTTCTTTCCACAACTTTGAATCAGAATTTACTTGGGAGGTAGAGAGGAGAGCTGAGGGAAGTGATAAAGTTGAGATCATCTCTGTCCAGTGTGTTCTTTGAAACTTTTCTGCACTTAATGGGAGTGGCTTTATTTTGACCGCTGCTTCCTTCTTACACAGAAGAGTCAAAGCTGTAACCTTTTGTCTCTTGACCCACAAAGAGACTATAGCCAAAAGTCAGGAAAGACTATTACTAAGTTTCTAACAAACTATGATCTTTCGATCTGTATCCCGACTCGATGCAGTTAAGAGTTCCCTAATACCCTATCAGGGAAAATGACATTTGAAGAGTTTTAAGAGTTCAACAGCTTAGAAATTCTTATGTCTATATTTTTTATGAGCACTGAATGAACAATGCTGTTGACCAGAAATGGGTTGTGTTCCAGACTCGGTGGGGTGGTGGATTGTAACTTTTCTCTTCAACCCATTGTTTATACTGTTACTGTATGCCTAATTTAAAACTTGTCAGAAGTATGTTTGGTTTTTTTTTTTAATTTTTTCTTTTTTCCCTGTGGAAAATTAGAAGAGACATAAGTTTTACAAACCACTTGTTTTGTGTAATTGCACATGATTATATTTTTCTGATTGCTAACCTATAAAAAGTTTAGGTTTATATTGAAAAGAACTTTCAGTATTTTCTTGTTCTAATGCGAAAGCTGATCCTTGACTCCTTTAATGTTGGTAAAATGTGCTAAGACTAAAGCAATCTGTTCATTTTCTTGGGGAAAATGCTGAGGTAAACATGCTTAATTTGAGTCTTCCATAGAAAATTCCTGTGCCTGTATACTTTTCATTCCTTAGCTTAGCTGGGAGTCTGAATATTAAGTTGGCAAAACTCATATCAGAAAAGGATGCTTGTAGCAGCAGGGGTTATCTACCAGCACCCAGCTCCTGAAGAGACAGGGTAGATTTAGTGCTTGGTACTCTAAAAATACTTTTTATTGTATATGTTAATGGACATAATGTAGATGCAGGAATCACTATGGGAAATTCATGTTTTGATGCTAATAAGATGGTATTGCTGATGTTAACAATCCTTGGATATGACAGTTGTTAAGACATCAGGAAAATATTAACATTTTATGCAGAGTCCTAAAATAAACTGAAGTTATATAACTCTCTCCATCATAAACTTAATTTTCAGGAACACTGATTCTTTTGGGTCAGGAAAAGGACTGTTAAAGGAAGGTATTTCTTTACCCAGCTATTGAAGGGAACAGCACTTTTTGGAAGATGCAGGTTTTGACCTCACTACTCAATGTTGCTCCACAGGAAATTCCATTCATCAGTCACAGTGTAATGCTGCTGGAGTGATCCTGAGTTGTCTGAGTTTTCATTCTTATTTCTAATGTGTCCTGTCTACTTAAGAGACATTTTTACAGGGTGTTTCAATTTGTTTGCTGTGCAATTGTTTCAATTTGTATTCAGTTTTCAATTGTTTATGTGGTAAACAATTGTTTTCATGGTGTTTCAGTTTGTAATTTTTTGATTGTTTGCATGGCAAACAATTGTTTCCTTATTAACAAACCTCTGTGTAGAGGAAAGTACATGAAACTGTATGGATTTAAGAAAGAGGACAGACAAATGTGAAACACTCAGGATATGATTGCCTGCTTATTTGTGTTTGTATATGATAATCTGAGATCTGGTGAAGTTATTTTTGAAATTTTCTGCAGTACAAAGACCTCTTTTTAGCAAGTTGCGTGTTATTTAAGTATTTCCTTTCATGTCTTGGAAAATTGTTTATGTATGGTTAAGGAACCAGGAAGTAATCCTGACATTATCTATTTTATCCAATTACTGGTATGTGAAGTGAGGGACAGCAAAAGAGAAAGAAGGAATTAAAAAAAAAAAAGTGTAGAAAAAGTGTGCATTAAATAAATATCTATATCTGGATATTTATGTAGTTTTTCCTAGAATGCTTCTGCGTGAGAGTTTGATTCAACATCAGAAAGGCAGAATGCAAGCATAGTTTGAGTATGGGGTTGAGAGTTGAAAAAGTTCAGGTCTGGAATTTGAGCTGAGTGCTATTAGTCCTGAACTGTTTGCTTAATTCTGTTGTTCCACTTCTCATATATGACTCCATTTAGTTTAAGGACTGTATTCAATGTGAAAGTTGCATCTGTAGGATTGTATTCAAAGCCTATGAAACTCTGCAGTATGGTTGAACTAATAATCTTTACCATTAACCCATTTTCTTTTCAATGCATCCTTAATGATTGTTCCTTTTTCTGCTGTGAAGCTGAAATGTGTATTAGCTGTTAATTTGGAATTCAAATAGGGCATTATCATTTCATCACTGGAAAAGTTGACATAGTCAGGATTTGGTATGCTCTTGCGGATATTCTTTAACGTTTAAAAAACTTTTTGGAAGTAATTTGCTTTGATGGCATACTTAAGACCTTCTTTTTTGATACCAAAAACTAATGAGATTTTAACCTTGGTTTATTGTATCTGAAATATAGACTTAATTAATTTTCTAACTTTTACTAAGCTGTAGATAAGTCTTAATGTGATTTTTGTTGAAGCATTTAAAGGTTTTGACTTAACTGGTCAAATAGATACCTGCCTGTAATTGCATGCGGAGGAAATCTATCCTGCACTGATAAATTTTGTTTGAGTTTTAAAAAAGCTTTTCAGATAGTCTTTCTCAAAGAACAGTTTTGAGCTTCAAGACTTGTGAGGTAAAAATAGGGTATTTTTAACAGTGATTTTGCTTTTTGAAGTCATCTTTCACGGGTCTTGATTTCAGTTGTCTCTGGAAGTGTTCCAGCAAGACAAACTTTTTTTTTTTTAAAAAAGTATTGCACTCCCCTTTATCTGAAAATGTAGAATGCTGCGATTTGGTTCCTTTCTGTAGATAGTGTTTTCAGCCTTCCTGTACTATAGTGCCTTGTAGTTTTACCATTTTTGCTAGACGTTCTCTTCCTTTCATTTGGTGTTACTCACCTACATACTAATGTGGATTTAATGAGTCTTCTCTGTTTTCCTCTAGTAGCATGGTCTTTGAGGGAATGTGCTTATCAAATGTTTAGATGAGTTTGACATATCTTTAAAAAAAAACTTTATTACACAAATAAACTGGCATACACTCTCAGGTTAATGTTTGATTTGATTAGGTTTGTGCAGTTTTGAAGAAAAACAGTAGTGAGTGTTTTAAATGGGAAAGTTTCTGGATTTTACTAGAATTATGTGATAAGTACCTTTTTTTCAAAGATTCTACACTGGGTAACATGGACCATCTTTAAGTTATCAGATATACGTGTTTGGGAATAGGGAAGGAAAGTTTTGAGTTTGTTGTTTTGTTTTGTTTTTTTTTTTTTAAATTATAATCCTTTATCCAGACTGAATGGGAACTGCACACTGCATTTGTACAACTCATTACTTCAATGAGTTAGTGTTATTGTAGTACAGAATAGTTTGTCTTGTGTTCTGTAAAAAGGGGAGTGTTAAGAAAAAAGAAAAAAAGAAAAAAAAAAGGTATATTTGCATCCAAACTCACTTTCCTACCATCAAATGTCAAATTTTTGACAATAATGAACTGTCAGAACACTGAAGAATCATTATGAAAAAGTTAGTATCTATTTGTATTTGTGAGAGAATTACTTAATCTTGGGTCAATATGGAAAAAAATATGTTGGTGTCTCTGCTATTTCAGATTGTATCCAGTTTTAAAACTACAACATCAAGGGCAATCTGTCAACTGGTAAAGGAATATGTTGGCCACAGGGATGGTATTTGGGATGTCAGTGTCGCGAAAACTCAACCAGTGGTGTTGGGAACTGCATCTGCTGGTAAAGTTTTGTGTTGCTTGAATCTTTAGAAAACTCTGGTTTAGACCCTAAGCTATAGCAAATATAGACCAAAAGCATACTTGAATACTTAGCTCCACACTGAAAGATTCAATTTAAAGAAGTTCAGTAGCTGAAAAATTCTTAAATTGGAGTTTCCTTGAAATGCATTTAACCTTTAGAAGGTTCAGGCATCCTTGTTGATCTTTCTAAAGTATGTGCCAGTTAACTTGCATGCAGGTCATGCTCTCCTTAGAGTCAGCTCTGGCCTGTTGGATGGAGTAAATGGGTGGGTTGGGGAGCTGCTTGCCTGGAGAGGTCTCCCACAGAATGCTGTATGACTATGTACAGAGATCCCTGCAGACTTTCTATCATAGTATTGTTTAGCCTTTGTTTTATAGAAGCCATAGACTTAGTCATAGTTTGCATATTCTTTTTTTCTTGTATTCTTACATTCGTCTGTTTTTTGCCTAAGGATGTAGCGTCAGCTAAAAATCTTAATTTTGAGTTCTTATTAACTTACTAGATTCCTTCCTTCCCACTTGAGAGGGAACAGGTACTAATGAATAAGTCACTAAATCTATTATGATCCAAAAATCAATCTAGAGGCTTGTGTGGTTTTCAAAAATTATTTTTTATATATATGTATATATAAAACCAGTTAGAATTGGTCAAGTTGAAGTGACAGTCTTTTGAAGCTGAAACAGAATCTGAAGACATTTCTGGACGTAAATATTATGGACCAGAAACCTCTCCTTCATAAACTGAACTATTATAATTTTTATGTGCCTACTGAGGGGTACATTTTGTCTTTGTGTGGGACGTCTTTTCTTTGTCCTGATTTAACCTGCAAACAGTCATTCTCCAATTCAGCATTAAGGTTCTCCCCACTTACTTACATTAATTATGTATTTTGGGGTGTGGCGGGATAAAGGAGTGGCATTTGGAGTGATTTCCTTTTTAAGTAAGTTTTCATAGTGCTCTGCAGTGACCTATATGCGTTTGGGACTTCTGTGCAGGAAGTAAATAGTTTGTGCATAGAACTCTTGTTTGTAGTGACTGCCTGATGTTTTCACCACTGAATGCTTTCTGTGTTCTTCCTGAATCTCATGATACACAGTTGGAGCATTATACATAAATATAATATATATAATATACATGTTAGGAAAAATATCAAAAGTAGTATTTGCCTTTAAATACTACTGCAAATTAATCTGATTGGGACAGCACCTTTACTTTTTTTGAGAGATGTGTATTAAGTTATAATGATAGGAATCTTTTATATAAAAGGTGGTATGTAAAAGAGGATTTGGTATGTTCTGCATTTGAAATCTATTTCATATGGTATGCTCTACATTCAAAGATAACTTGTTTGTTGAATTGGTTAAAAGTGAAAACCATACATTTGTAACAATATTTACAGCTACTTTTTAATCTTTGTAGATCACACTGCTTTGCTGTGGAGCATAGAAACAGGGAAGTGCCTTGTCAAGTATGTAGGTCATGTTGGATCAGGTAAGATAAGGGCATGTTGTGAAAACTGGAAAAGGAGTGTGGGAGGGGGAAATGTGTTTTGGACTACAAAAATGTTTATGGCGGTTTCACTTGCAGGTTTGCCAACACCAGTAACAAGTCAATTGTGAAGTTCCACTAATCTTCATACAGAGAATGTTTTGTAATATGATTCTTTCTTGGAGAGGCATATTAAGACAGTTCTGTAAATGCTAAATGAATAAACAAGTCCATATAAAGAAATTTACAGGCACAGTTATGGCACTCAGAAGTTAAATTCAGAACTCATTGAGGTCTCATGCATATGCAGAACAAGAGAAGCTTACATAATCAGAAATTAGCTGTTTTGCAGGATCTATGTTATATTTGGGATACAAAATACAGATGCTGGGTGAACATCTGTTTGCAGTTCTTTGTTTAATACATGATCCCACATATAATTTGTTGCGTATTATCAAAAAGTATTAAAATCTTGTTTTGAAGACCATTAATTCAGTATAGGCATTTGTCGTCTTCTATACCAGTAAGGATATTTCAGAAACAGTGTTCTTAAACTCCTCCTTGGGTGGAGAGGTGCAGTGCAGTAAGTGTTTGTGATGTTAGTCTGATTTTTTGGTTTCCAGTTTGACAAGCACCTGATTAGTGCCCTTCTGTCTTATAACGGGTTACAATGTAGGATTTTATAGACCAAAGGTAGAGGGGTTTCCAATAGCTTTAACTTGCTGGTAAGAGTTGAACACTTCAAGTAGTTGTACCCTAGAGTCCTGCACCCAGAAAATGAGGAATGCAGTTATTGACCTGGTATATTTGGTTAAGTAACTCAGCTAGCACATCACATGAACTTTGTGGCAAAGGTACAAATAGAGTTACGTTCTCCAGAGAGTGGTCAGCTGCTTCAACCATGAGTTCTACTTTTTTTTTTCTGCTATATGACTTTTAGCTCCTACAGCACAAAGGTACTAACAGATAGATGCATAGAAACAATGGGTAACACTTCAATTTATTCAGATATCTCAGGTTACTTGCTGCATGGAGAGCGTGCCTTTAGCCTCCATCAAGTCATGTTTAAAAACTCCAATCACTTGCATTTTCATGCCGATAGGTTGTTATTTTTTTTTATATTGCTATTTGGAAATAGCGTGAAAATAATAAAAGCTCTAATATGTATTTAAACAGTTGTGTGTAAACTAAGTTAAAAAAACTCATAAAATTTATAAAAATTGTACAAATTTATATAAATTATATTAAAAAATGTATTTTTCATTTAGTAAAACTTGTTTACATTTAACAGTTGATTTGAAATGGAAGAGAGGTGTTAGGTGCCAGCAGTTGGGGCACCATTGAGTTAGTTCAGTGTGAACAATTTAAGGAGTATCTTTTAAGATTAATTACACCAAACTCTCCTGACAAAGTTAGCATCTACTTTACTTGTATGATGGATGGAAACAATTTTTAAGTTCTTTCTTGAAGAACTGTTGAAGAGAAGCTTATGGATTTTGCAAATGAAAGTGCTTAGTAATGAAAAGTAATTGAGTCTTATGCACTGAAATAAAAAATGAAGAGCTTTGTAAGCTGATAGAATTCTTGCAGGACTATTTTAAAACAATTGTTTTGATTACATGTGGTTGCAGGACTGAAATCTAATTTGTATTATTTGCATTAGGTTTTTAGGCATTTGTTCTTGCAATCTTAAGTAATAATCAGAAGGTTGATGGTCATATATATTAAGTTTTTGTTATGTTAGAAATAGTTATGAATACTTAAATTCTCTTCATGGAAGTCCAGAGCATTATCTCCTGTCAGCTTACACAGTATTATTTGAACGTGGTTTGTTTATCCTCTGTAACATGGAACACTTATACTAGATTCAGGAATAACTTGCTAGAAAATATGTATTATTGTATAATCAACTATAGTTGCTTTCCTTGATACTTAATTAAATACCATTGTGCTTTGTCTCACCTAGGAGATTGCTATACTACAAAAAATTACTTAAAACTGAAGACTTCTTGATTTTTTTTTTTTAAGGCTTTTAATGATAAAACATTGTGAAATAATTCTTTTAGTATACTAGCTTAAAACTTTACTTTGTTCCACACAGTAAATTCCATAAAGTTTCATCCAACTGAGCAAGTGGCTCTTACAGGTATGTAAAGTTCTTTCATACGCTGAGTATGTTAATCATGATGGAAGAATAAGTGTCATTCGCTAGCACCTTTTTGGTTGTAGCGCCTCTCCCTACTGCTTTGTCAGTATCCTTGTTGATTGAATTATTTTTATATTTTAAGACATAACAAAGCAGAGCTAGATATTTCCATTTGTGTTTGTCATATCATTGTCATTTGTGCTTACCTGCTCCAAAACGGACACTTAGAATCATACATCAGCTGAATGTTCACAAGTCCATGGGGCCTTATGGGATTCATCCCAGAGTTCTGAAGGAGCTAGCGGATGGTATGGCAGGACCCCTCTCGATCATCTACCAAAGGTCTTCGGAGGTCCCTGCTGACTGGAGGTTAGCCAATGTTATTCCAGTCTACAAAAAGGACATGAGGGATACCCAGGGAACTACAGACCTGTTAGTTCAACCTCAGTTCCTGGAAAAATTATAGAGAAGATTATGCTGGGTATTGTTGAAAGGTATTTAAAGAACAATCCAATCATCGGGCACAGTCAACATGCATTCACAAAGAAAAAATCCTGTTTAATTTGAAATCCTTCTGTGATAAGGTCACCTGCCTAATGGATGAAGGGAAGGCAGTGGATGTCGTTTTTCTGGATTTTAGTAAGACTTTTGATACTGTCCCTCACAGCGTCCTTCTAGACAAGTTGTCCCAACTGTGGGATAAGCAGGTTCACGGTGTGCTGAGTGAAGAACTGGCTGAAGGGCAGAGCACAAAGGGTTGTAGTGAATGGGGCTACATTTGGCTGGCAACAGGTCACCAGTGGTTTTCCCCAGGGTTCAGTTCTAGGGCCAGTCCTGTTCAAT